GAGTTAAAGATACTGTAATTATAAAGTTCTAAATCTATACTATATTATAAAACATTTGACAAAAACTCTTAAAAACTATTTTTTATGCATGAAGTATTGTTTATTGATGCATATTACTTAAAATTTAATATTACAAGTAAACTATGCATAAGTACAACTTATTAAATCTTCATATTTAAATTTGTGTAACTAACTGCAGATAAATATAATCAAATATTGGATAAACATCTCATTTTAAATATAAAAAATCTAAAATATAATTAGGATAATTATGAGTTCTAACAGATTACTTAATTATTATTCTTATAAAAAATTATTAAATCAAAAATAAATTACTTTGTTATTAAATCTAAATTAAATTATAATAAAAAATTTGAATTAAAGAAATTACACAAAAACAATAACTTTTAAATAGTTAATTTAATACTAATATTGATATATCTATTTACAAAATTTTATGATATTTTCAAATTTATATTTTATTCAAAAATAAAATCATTTTTTTTTCTCAACACCACATAAAAACCGTATTAAAACATCCACAAAAACGGAATAAAACAAAACATTAAAATCGAGATATATATATCGTTGCATTACACGAGTACCCTTTTAATGTGATAAAATATTTTTGATAATAACTCCTTTTGTATGAACTTCACTAAATGGTTTATAAAATCAATTTTTATATAAACAAATATTTATAAGAATTTAAACATTTTAGGTATATGACTTGAATTAGTTTATTCTATTTTGAGGAAACAATCCAAATTGAAAATGCCCTTTGTGTTTGTGTGGGTATTCAACATTTTTAAGAAATATTTTTTTAAATCGGTTCAGATATTTTTTTTAAATCGGTTCAGTATTTGCAACTTACGGCAATTTCAGCGAATACTTTTAGCTCGGATGTCTACATGAATGATTTCCAATTTAGAAGTCAGTGAAAACTCTTTGACCATGTTTGTCAAACGAGCTGAGTGGCTATAATATGCTGATAAACTTATCATGTTTGACAAAACTAGTTGAGAAATGTAAATAACCAAAAAAGACATGATAAAAAATTATTATCTTGTGTTAAGAATTAAAATAATTTATAGAATTATTAATTAGGGTAAATAAAATATCAATTTTTAAAATTTTCTTTATTAATCGATTATTTTAAGTGGCCTATACATATTAGTTATTGTATATTTTTAAAGTATATTATTAATATTTTTGATAAGTATATTAATTAACAATTTTTCAAAATACTTTTTGATTAATAATTAATTTATAATAAAGAATAAATAAATAATGATTAATAGGAATAAATTATGGGAAAAATTAAAAAAAATGAGGAAAAAAAAATCATGAAGTTTATTGAAACATTAGTTTGAGAAAAAAACTTTGTGGGGTTTATTTTAGGGTGTTTATAGGTCGGGTTGAAACATTTGAACAATCCAACCATGTGGTGCATCGGTTAATATATATATATATATATATATATATATATACACACATATAAATATATAGTTTTAATATCTCTATATAATTTCCTACATATGATGGTTATTATCATATTAATTCAACCTTATACTAATAATAATATTTAACTGGGGAAATTAACATAGAGTATAATACAAACATAATAAAATAGGCAACGCCTTTTATTTATTTATTTATTAATTTCATGAAACAAAATTTAAATTTACAATCATCATATGATTGGTTCTTGGACATTCACTAACAGATGTTACAACCCGATTAGTCATTCGGTTGTTATGGATTGAGTTATTTTGCGTTCAATTGGGTTGATCAGGTTGATCAGATTTTTTAGCACCCTAGTTAGTTCAACTGAGAATAAAGCTTTGACCTTTGAGGATACTACTCAGAGGTCACTACTTCGAGTCCTGCAAGTTCACTGAAAATTTTCTTCACTGTTTTATAGGACCCATAAGATTAATCGAGATGCGCACAAATTGGCTTGTACACCCATGATTAAAAAAAACCAAAACCTTTATCCAATAAAAAAAAACGTACAAACAATCGAAAACGCTCTATTACTTTCGTTACAACCGCCCTCCAAACTTGAGATCTAAATCACATGTGTTCATTCATTGATACTTAAATCTTAATAAATGATACTTTGTGTGCTTAAAATCAACTCAAGCTTTTTACCAAAGAGTCTATACTCAATTTTCTAAAACCAATATGTATTCTGCCAATAAAATATTGAATTAACTTCCTAACAAAAAAAATACCGAAAATTCATCTTATGGGGCAGTAGGACCTCAAATTCATGTACAGCATACAAGTGTCCAAGCAGAGGTGCAATTTCTTGATGTTCCATCGACAACAAACTAGCTTCACCAAGACGCATTCGTTGAGTAATTTGAGCCCTGAAATGTATGGTGTACAACCACAAAGAATTAGATGCGTATTTGTCAAGTTTCCCATTAGGCAATAGACTAATAATATCAAGAAAAAAAATGGATGGTTGGATGGGTACTGAAAGACCTAACATGGCAAAATAAAGGTCGGACGGTGCCATCATCTACATGGATTTGGCCAAACAATCCGTCTTTTTTAAGACAAAAATTGTTTGGCCTAGACCTACAATAGTCCAGACAGGTAAAATTTGATCTGGGTTGTTATTTCATTTATAAAACGACTGAGATCGCTGATTCCCTAGGGGATGAGCGTGGACCAGTCAAGACTGTCAGTCTAGGTCATGTCTTTACCTTTTCAGATTTGAACCAATCCGACTTCTATTGGATCGCTTAATCAGAGTTATACCAAACCAAGATTTTTTCAGAGTCGATCCACCAACTCTAACCAAGACTAATCTCGAAGCTACCTGAGCCACAATTCACTACATGACATGCTAACCGAAAGTTGGGCATGTGACTATAGATGCAACATCTCATTTTCGTATCCTATTAGAAAACAACTGACACATGCATTTATGAGGACAAATTGTCGGATACAAAACTTGTATGTACATAAATGCCTCATTTTAATATGCATTCGGTACACTAACACACCATATTCTACATATTTCAGTGTCTGTAAAATCCACTGTGTTTCTCCCAAACTTCAGATATCAGAATTTATCAGTCTTACAAACATTCACGATAATCATACATTTATACTAACCCGATCTTCACTAATCAGTCACAACTTTATCTTCATAAATATCATGTAGCATTGATTTTAATCCCTTTTTACATAAATCAACCATAGTTTGACTTGTAATAAAAAGTCAACCATTAACACTTTGAGTTTACAATATTATTTAAATAAATTTTTAAATTTGGGAATATCCACTTGAACACTTCAACCACTCTTTAAAAACTAAATTAAAACATCCACAATTGGATTTTATGTCAAAACATCATGATTTAAGCCAAAATTTATAGTTTGACTTTAGAAAGTCAACTACCAAAAACCTTTCGATATCATCGTTAATTCAGACGTATATGCATGACCAAATTTCATTCTCGATGGTTACTAATATTTCAAAAGAACACGTAAGACGGTAAACTTGATGATGAAGCTTACTTCTTGTGTTAACTGCTTTTCAGTAAAAAAAATTAACTGATCATTGATTTCTCTGAGCTATTTACTTCTCGTGCCAGTATGCACAAAGCGAGGCAGATGAGAATTTTAAGACCTATCTATACTCATTTAGTTGCAACAAACTAGAATCGACGTTGTTATTTTCGTTCACATATACACTTACTGTTCGATATATGTATTTGGCGTCCAATTTGTTGGCAACATTTCAGAACGACACGCTTCATGGTACGGTTTTGCACAATCGATGAATCTTATTAATCTGATTTTGACTATTTTGGGCTATTAATTTTATTTACGATATCAGTTGCAGTTCAACTAATTCATCACATTGAATGACCATGTTGTGTCATAATGCTATAAAATTATGGTTCTCACACTTTGGTATAGGAATTGTGGGTCAGGAAAATAAAAACAAGTAAGAATCGAACAAGTTAATTTGACACTGATTTTTCATAATAAATGCTACAGTTTTTTTCGAATAAATGAAATTGGAGCAACACTATTGGTGAGCACATTGGTCCCATGTGAAGAATTTTTGAAGTTATATACAATTGTAGCATTTGTACAAAAAGTGGTATTTTGAAAGGAGAACAAACATATAACATCAATCACATGGGTGGTGTCTGATTGGTTTGAACTGATTTGAGCTTGAATTTCAAATGTCAAAAGTGTTTGAAGGTCTCAAATTCAAATCCAAGGAGTAATAAAAATTCTCTTGTGGCTACGGAGGTTCAAATGCAGTGACTTCGAGCTACCCGCAAAACAGGTGATCAACCTGGGATTAGTCGGCTCATATAACGGGTTGGATATTCAGGTTAACTAGAAAAACATAAACATCTAAATTTTAAAGTAGAAATATACAATTAAAATATAAATTAGATTCAGCATCATGGTATCAGACGATGTTAGCGAATAAGCTTTTATTGGACAGATATTTTTGTATAACGTGTATTATTTTAATTTATGAATAAGACGTATTTATAACAAAATAGAAAATAATTCAAGATATTATTTAAATTCATGAGTAAACTACAAATTGGTGCCAGTGATTGCTTGCAAAAAGGTTTTGGATTTGATCTTTTCATGAACGTTAAAGAATATGTTAAATGGGTTTTTTTTATTGATTTTTTATTTAATTAAAATCGATTTTATGATTTTGATCAGTGTGGTTTTTGATCAGATAAAAATCAAAACAAATCGATAGAAAAAACAAAAATGTATCTTCATTTAATAGATTTTTAACGGTTATTAGAGAGAAAGAACAAATTTAAACAATATTATAAATCACGATGATTATCTTGTAATTTTGAAACAGAAACTATTGTTTGTTATAAATTTCAATATTCCAACTTTTGGAAATATATATTAAATTAAAGTAAATAAAGAAAAAGGGCATGAAAATTTGTCAAAAGTGAACATTTAATTACTCCATTTTTCTAAGGAATATGGCATCGATTTTTTCTACTAATAATCAATCTGTGTGCACCACGTGTCAGCATCTGAGTGCTAGGCCTCAAGATAGCTTGTGACAGCCATCCCTATCTGATTATACACTTCTTCCTATAAATATCCGAATTCAATAACCCTTTTCCTTCGTGAACCTTTTTTCCCTCTTTCTACAATCCACCAATTTTCTCCTGGAAACAAATAAGTTTGAGAAAATCACGAAAATGGAACCCAATCATGATTTCACTGAGTTGATCCCGGGTTTACCTCATGAAATCGCCCTCGAGTGCTTGACTCGTTTGCACTATGGAGCTCACGCCGTCGCCTCCCATGTCTGCCGGCGGTGGCGCCGACTTCTACAAAGCCAGGACTTCTATTATCACCGGAAACAAAATGGGTTTACTCGGAAAGTCGCTTGTTTCGTTCAATCGCTTCCGATTCACCCTGAATCGGCCGGGTTAAACGAAAAACCCGAAAAACAGCCGAAATACGGGTTGTCGGTTTTCGACCCGACCACATGTATCTGGGTCCAAATCGACCCGGTACCCAAGTACCCGGATGGGTTGCCGCTGTTCTGCCAGCTTGCTAGCTCGGAAGGGAAGCTGGTGGTGATGGGCGGGTGGAACCCAGTGAGTTGGGAACCGCTACGTGACGTGTTCGTGTACGAGTTCACAACTCGGAAGTGGACTCAGCGGATGGATATGCCATCGACTCGTTCCTTTTTTGCTGCCGGCGCATGTAACGGGAAAGTCTACGTCGCCGGTGGACACGACGAGAACAAAAACGCTCTTAGAAGCGCCTGGATGTACGATATTGGATCGGACGAGTGGACTGAGTTGACTCCGATGAGTGAGGAGCGAGACGAGTGTGAAGGAGTGGTGATCGGCTCGGAGTTTTGGGTCGTCAGCGGCTACGATACCGATAGCCAAGGACGGTTCAAGAACAGCGCGGAGGTTCTAGAAACTTCCACCGGAACATGGCGGCGCGTGGACGAGGCTTGGCGGGTGAGCCGGTGTCCGAGGTCTTGTGTGTCCTTTGAGCAAAGTGGTAATCTCACGTCTTGGGATGGGTCCGAACCGGCCGTACAAGTAGGGACCTGCGGTGTTGACCTGGGGGACCGGTCTTTGGTCACCGGTTCGGCTTACCAAGGTGCACCACAAGCGGCTTTTGTGGTGGAAAAGACCAACCAAGGGCATAATGGTAAATTCGTAAAGGTAGACGTCCCCAATGAGTTTTCTGGGTTTGTGCAATCGGGTTGCCTCGTCGAGATTTGATGGAGTATTTTTATCATTTCCACTTTTACCCTTTTTGATATATATAATATATATATATATATGTATATATATATATATATATATATAAATGTATATATTATGCCTATGCACAATGTTATGTAAGTTTTGTAGCATTATATTGTGTCTATGTACCTTTTTAAATATTTCTTGAATATAATATGTTAAAAAAATCGAGTTTTTGTGGTTATCTTTTTAATAATTATGTGTCGTTCAGTATTATTTTAAGATCTTGTTTTTAAGTTCTTGTTTTTAATAGGTGATGATAAAATACACTTACTGAAATCAACCTTGTTTGCCTTTTATTTTATCCTTTATGATAATAAATTCTCGAGACAACACCGTCTTTTAATATATGAAAGAGGATAGAATCGTTATCAATGAAGAGATAAGTTTTTATGTTTGATGATGTTGACTTGTCTTGTATTATCATATAAATTATAGAATCAATCTAGAACATTATAAATTTGTTTAACATAAATACAGTACAATCATAAAATATAATTGAGGATATGTCATAAACCATTATAAGCGTCTTGTTGAACATACGTATAGTACAAAGCTCTATAATTGCGAAACATAATTGAGAATATGGCTTATGGTTGACTAAAAAGGCCATTAAATTCTATACAAACCGTTTCTAGTGTCGTTATTGATAGTACAAATGATATGACTCTACAACTGCAAAGATGTTGTTATTTTTCAAGATCCTGTTACAGATCGTTTAGGTTATCGTTATTCATCCTATTAATTATATAATGCTCCAAACATCTCGTTAATTTTCGAGATCCTATTAGTCCTCAAGTGACCCGCCGTCATATTCAACCTGTTTACATTTCCTTCCTTCTTTCACTTTCCGTCAGATAAAACCTATCGTACCGAAACAAACCCATGATCTACGGCTACATCTTGTGACTTTATCGGAAAACGTCTTTTCTTCTAGAAACCATATCCACTCGTTGCAATATCCCTTGAAACAGTACGTTAAAGGTAAAGTGGGCACACTAAATTGACAACTCAATTATTTAGCGAAAAAGTATAATAAAAATAAAATGAAAACACAAGTCATCGGGAATCTTATCTTACTATGAGTGAATATTAAAATCGGAAGAGCATGTTAGCAAAATATTCAATTATCAAATAAAGACAAAAAATCGCGTCACTTTCTGATTGCGTGTAATGTACAATTTTCTTATTATTTGATTCAAAAATGGTCATGGTCAATGTTATTTAGAGTATTCAAGTGTAGAAAACTATGGGTAAGTTATAGTTTTCTAGGCGAGCTAACGACCAAATGTGTGTAGAAGGTTTTGTTAGATGGGCCAAAAGTGACCACCAAAAATAAGAACCAATTACCAAACTCTTACCAGATAAACACTTATCTAATGAACATAGAGATAAGATGAACATGACAAGGATCGAAAATCTTATTCAATAAGAAGCACAATAATGACCAAGAATCTTATCCGCCAACTGAAGGAAAAGACTCTTATTCAATAAGAATTTGGTAGCAATGACCCGGTAGAAGATGTCTATCAAAAATACATTTTGATGGTTAGAAATGTCACCCAATAAGGTAAATAGGATGGTGACTCACACCAGTAAGTGCTTAACTGATAATTCATATAAAGTTGTTACAACTTTTATGGCACTTGCTGTTTTAAATCAACTAATTAAATAGACACAATAAAAAAGGTTAAATATCTGAAATTGCATACAGACGAGACTGTTAAAACCTTTATCTACTAAAATAGAAAACCTATAGATGTTACTTTTTTTGGTACTGAAGGGTAAAAAAATGTTTCTTGTTTTGTTTCCATTCAGACCTTTTTCTTACATTTTCTGTGGGTCCCAAAATAATTAACGACGTAGTTATTTATGTTTGTTAAATAAGCATCAACTTCAGAAAAAATAGATAACTAAACTCACGAATCTACATTTAATGCACAGTTTTTTTTAAGTGCTGAAAATAAATATATTAATTGAGAGTCAAATTAAAATTTAATAATTATTCATATCCAAAACTGTGTCGTTTCCGTTCACATCTTCGTTTCCTGAAACAAATCGAGCACCCTCCAGAATTTTGAAGAGACGAGACATCTTACAGTAAGATGTGGGACATCCTGAACATATTACTAATGTCGACGAATACCGACACGATAATGGGTCAGAATTGTAGCAGTAGCGGTAGCAGCAGCATTTTTTACTACGGTTTACTTACATGACGGAACAAAAATTTGTACTATGTCTCATTCGTCATAGACTGACAATATATGACAGATTGGGGCAAAAATGTATTTTTTCCATCCTACCAAAATCGGTGGAACAATACCCACGAAAAAGGCAACTCGACTCGACCCACAGGCTATAAGACAAGATACAGCTATTGTACTCTACTTGAGGACCCCTATCCCTTATGTTTAGAAGCAAGATCTGCCCAAGAACGACCCTCCACGTTCTTTCCTAGTCCTGAGTTCTCCGTTTAATATCAGGGACATGGCCCAACCGTGAGGATAGTGTTCTATGGAGATCGAGCATGAGACTACTGGAATAGATCGGTAAATTACTAAACTACGCATATCAAATTAAAACATAATACCCGTTCATAAATTCTTTCACCTGCCTACCTTGTCCCGTCCTGTCAATAAAAAAATCTGCATACACACGGACCACACAGTAAAGCAGACCCAAAAAAAAACACAAACCAAATCAAGTTCATCCAGGGAAGTATCAAATGCCAAAGGGGATCTGAGTTCAAACTTTCTAGGACTAGGCTAGTGAGTAGTTTACATCACAGCAAACATTCAGAACATAATTCATTAATCCATCAGAAAATTGCCTCACCTAATAACCTTCCGGACTCCTGCTCCTGAGCGGGGTTGGACTCCTGCTCCTTGACCCATATGGAGACCTTGAATAAGACCTGTCTCTTTCTCTGTACCTGCGGTTTCGAGGTGAAATGGACCTGCTTCATATCCGCAGACACTATTACCGCCTCATTCCACAAGTTGGGTGATCAAACGATGCATGACTAACCACATACCTTGAGTAATGATCCTGTCTTGGGGGAGAATAGTATCTTGGACTGCGATGATATGATCTTCCACGTGGGGGTGAACGAGAGTAACGGATGGATGACCCTCTACGATCATATGATCGGCCCCTGTCGTCAATAACACTAACTAGACGTCAAAAGAATAACAGATATATGACTCTTATGTAACAAAATATATCAACGTCAGCCGCAGTATCGGATTTAAGGAGGGAGGGTTCCCATGACATAGTGGAACTCTTATCATGAGTGTTAAAAATGCATCCATTTTAATTTGATGTGTACTCCCCTAAGTTGATAAAAAAGCAGTTGCAGACTACTGGTAGTGGCATCACAGGCTGCAAGTTCAAGTTTCCTTTGGAACCCTTCTAATTTTTTGGTAATGGCAATGAAAAAGAAGAATAAAAAAACCACCTGGGTGTTGCAAAAAACCATTTGTGTGCCATTTTAAATTTAATCATACTTTTATAAACTAATTTTTGTTTATTTTATCCTAATGCTAAATATTTTGTGCCCGCTTGGAAATTTTTGTGGATTCGTCTCTGACCACACAAATATTTGTCAAGAACAACAGCAACAGAGGAAAAGCACAAGCATTCGCCAACATAATAAACTCACCTGAAACGTTCTCTTGCTCTCATATCTGAAGGCTTCTTCCTATTTTCCTCAGCAAACACAACTGTCAGCTCCCTACCAAGAAGAATTTGGCCGTCCATCTGATACTTGGCTTCAGCAGCATCATCTGGGTCAAGATATTGGACAAAACCAAAACCACGTGGCTCTCTGCAACATAATTTTGATAACAGTCACTAATGTGCCCATATAAAAACGATCAAAGTCGCTAATGTAATGTCATTGCTTACAGGAGTACACGTATATTTATCGTCATCATGTATACACATGAAAAAGCCACACATGTACATACAAATAACACATGAATACTTGGGCAGTATGCATCCTCTATTCCAGACGCCATATATATTCAGCTAAATTAAAAAACAAAAAGCAAAAAAAGAACATCCCTCAAAAGATCGCTCCAAATATAGTCAAAAAAACAGATGCTAACCTTACATAGTGAAGGTTTTTATGTGAAGTTCTTCAACAATTGAACTTCTTCACAATGTATTATAACCAACTTCCTTCAATCTTCAAGTACACAAAATCATCTTGATAAAAGTCTCTTACTTCATTTGTCTTCGACACTTCCAATAAACAAACCAATTTGCTTAAATAAATATAAATGACAAATGGGCGCCTACCATCATGTAATTCAACAACTGAATATGTGAACGAGCATGTCTAGCAACTAATATGAAAATTAGACAATTGTTGATCACATCAATTATTTAATTCGAGTCCAAATTGTTGAGAGAGCAAAGAGGCAGAACCCAAACATTTCTTTATGCAACTAAGCCATGCTCACCCTGTATAATAGTCTCGTGGCAAGTAAACATCCTTCAGAGGGCCAAACTCTCCAAATGGCACACGGAGATCTTCTGGTCTGCAAACAACGAGGTTAAAATAATGATCAATGTTAAAAAAACAATAGATAAAATCTCAATGTACTACGAAAATTACTGCATCTCCTTGTAATACATAGTGTAAATTCATTATCATCCAATATAATTTATGCCATAACACATGTCAATAACCCCGCTCACTGTGAAGCCATTTTTGCATGATTACAACCACCACATAACATTTTGGTAGATTGTATTGCAAGCTACAAATGCCAATACTCCAAGAACAAGAGAGTAATTAAAATCATGAAAAAGGAAATACATGTTTCAATAATTATTTTTGAAGACCATGTCAATGCTAACTCTTTAACTTTCACTCCTCCCAAAAGGTATAAAATATAGAAAGAGGGTAAAGTAAAGTAATAAAAATTATAGGAACAAATAACAAAGCAAAAAGTAATACAGTATACAACTTTATGAGGATTGGAAAGCAACCTCTAGTGGAGGAATGGCTGTAGGATTACTTTTCATGCAGAAGAATCAGAGTCTTAAACATGACGAACAATTATAATAGAAAAAACAATAATAAGAATTTCCAACCATGTTTTGTAAGTAGCAAGGAACTAATAATCATCTCTTCAGATTCTTGAATTAAAGAACGGCTGACTACATCATCACAGAACATAGAATGCAGGCAGTGTTGTGGTTAGTAAATACCAATGCAAACCAGCCACATGCTAGCTGTGGTATGCTGTTTGATACAGCAATCAAAGCTTTCATCTAGCAAGTTATAAAGTTCAAATACCAGAATCTGCTTTTTGTATGGCATGAGACAGACAACAAAAGTTAGAAGGATTTGTGGCAACATGTAACACAGTAACAGGAGACGATCAGAACAAACCTACAATCAAGACGAAGGTTGCGAACCAATAGGCTAGTAGGAAGATCTCTAGGACGACCACCATAACGACCCCTTGGGCTTGGACTTCGATACCTTCTGCTCCGGGATCTTGGTGGTGAAGGGCTGTAGCTGTAACTTCTACCCCTCATTCTTCACCCTAAGTGAAAATAAAGCAGCCATAAATAGGAGAATGTTGATCATAAACAACTTCCTTATAGACTTATAGTCCTCATTCAAAGTATGGACACCAGTCAACTAACTTGCAAAATCCAAAATTTTATATAGTTTCTCACTAGTGCAACATGTTACCCATTCCCAGAAAGCCACCATGTAACCATGTTTACTTTCATTAATTGGGAAATAATTTTAAGCACGAGCAACATGTTTCACTAGCCGATAATCACAAGCAATAAAACAAAGATCCACCATTAATTTAAGGCATTAACCATAACAGATTTCCGTAACATCAATCATATATTCACATAAAAACGGTAATCTACACTGAATGAATCAACAGAGAGGAAATTGAAGCATAAATTCATCAAGAAAACATGATCAATAACAAGAATGAAAATATCCATGTATCCAAGTAATAACTATGAGGTTCGACAACGATTGATCAAATAACATCGATGTGAAAACGACGACGAAACGTGAAATTGCAAACAAAATTTTAATCATATACGACTAGAGTACGAAGAAGATCAGAAAACTACCCCTAGAGATTGAGATCGATCACATGTTGAATACGATAACGATTAATTGGCAGATATATTCATCAGAAAACACAAAATTTGCAATTACCGATGTCGTAAAATACATAAAACTGATAAAAAATACCAATTGCATAAGAAGATTAGGATGATACCTTCAACAAAACTGATCGATCTATATCCGTGCCCTAATTCGCAGCGATCCACCTGATTGAATTTCACGCAACGAAAATTTTGAGGGGGGATTTGTCTCGAGAAACTTCTAACGTTCTACGTGGCCTAAATCTAGTATGATATTTATTTTCACCCCTTTAGGTATGAACTTTAACGGTTATGGTCCATCCAATGCATACTATTGTCAGTTTAGGCCCTCAAACAATTGACTAATGATGAATTAACCCACCAAGTTTCATTATGTATTTTATTAACCTAACCTAACCAAACCAAACGAAACGAGATATGACTGTTATATCTCTTTCAATAGTCTCTCAGAATCGTAGGTAACTTTGCTTTATCTCGAAGAGAAAAAATATTGTTATTCATTAAAAATCTCAAACTTTTACTTAATCAACAAGTCATGATTTTTTAACATATAATCTTAAGTGCTAATTTAAACGGTTAATATCGAATATTACTTATTTTTCGGGTGAACATGACAAGGATTTAAAATCTTATTCGGTAAGAGGCATAGGAAGAGCCAATAATCTTATGAGTAAATGAAACACACAACAATCCATTTTGATAGTGGATATTACTCGATAAGATAATCGAGGATGGTGATATTGCCAGTAAGCAATTATCGAGCTAAGCGTTTACTAAATAGCTTCTTAGTTTAGGGGATCTGCCCCATTGGCCACTAGTTAGAATCTCCTTAGCCAGTGGGATTTTCCATACTCCTCGGGGTTGTTTGGTTCGCTGAATTCGTAGAAATTCAATGTAATTGGAATAACAAATTCCTTTGACCAAATTTCAATTCATTTGTTTGGTTTACTTCTTGATGGAATTCTTTAAATTCTTTTGAATTCTACAAATTAATGAATTCATCATTTTTTGGCTTATATAAATGAATGAAATTTCATTCTTTCACATCCAATTTAACCAACACCATCCATCTCTGCCCCCACCACAACCATTCATCTCTGCCCCTACCACAACCATGCTACCATGTCATTGTCATTTCCTCATCCCTAACCCCCACCCCCACTACACCCCACCCCTATCACCATGTCATTAATGTAGATTTTAATTCTTCTACGAAATTCCACGATGGGTTTTGATCTTTCTTTGACATAAGTGAATAAATTTGAATTACATTTCGTGGTAGATATTATAATGTTGTTTTAAAAAGACAAAATGAATTTTTCCATTCAATTTAACCAACCCACCACACCACCCACACCGCACGCCAACATCTCCACCCCGACCCCATCGTCATAGCCACACCAGTCGTAGCCACCTCCCACCCAACCCCAACACCACCACACCATTATTGTCATCATCAGAACTATCACCCCCACCCTTGATGTATGCATATTTTTATTCTTTTGTGAGATTTTATTTCAATAACTGTCAATCAAATGTGTAGTCAAATTC